GAGGAGGGATGGACCAAAGACAGGCAGCCTGAAGGCCAGGATGAAGTCTGTGAAAAGGAGTGTCAGGTCAGGTCCTACTAAGAGGCTTCCCTACAGGGGAAGAAGAGGACAGCACAATGTGGCCATTACCTTCCATGGTCAGTGCTGGCCCCAGCACTTCTCTGGGATGTAGTTTAAGCTAACTGAAGAAGTGGTAGCTGCATAGACTTGACAGGAGTTTGCAGAAGGGCCATCAGGGAGGGTGAAGAGGAACTGGGCTGGGCACTACACAAGCAGAGCAATCCTGGGAGAGAAGACCATCTTCTTCCAGGAAGCCTTTGATGGTGGCCACCTTCTCCAGCAGAGTGGCATGTCTAGAGCTTCCCTGATTTTCAAGTCTCATGTCACTGAGGACTGTATCATGCTGTCATGGGTGGTTTCTTCATCTACAGACTCTACACTTAGAGTCTTGGGTGCTACTTATGGTTTACTGTAACTGAAAGTCTAGATGAGTAGATGACAGATGAATGATGAATGGATAGATGGCTGGCTGGGTGAATGATGGATGGATTCATAGATAGACAGATAGCTGTATGTATATATGTATGTATGTACGTATGCATGATGAATGAAAAATGATGAATAGATTAGATTAATGATGGGATGAGTAGATGGATGGTGGAGGATGAAGGATGGATAAATGATGAATGGAATGGATGATGGGTGGATGGATGTTGGATGGGTTGGTAGATATTGAGTGATAAACAAATAAGTGGGTAGATGGATAGGTATGTATAGGCAAATGGATGGTTGGATGGACAATGAATGGAAAATGCTGAATAGATTAGATTAATGATGTGTGAGTGGTTGGATGCATAAAAGAGGACGAAAGATGAAAGAATGATGAATGGAATGGATGGGTGGATGGATGGTAGATGGAGTGGTAGCTATTGAATGATGAATGGATAGATGGGTAGATGGAAAGATGGAGTAAGCATATATAAGTAGATGGATGGTTGGATGGATGATAAATGGATAATAATAGGCAGATTAATGATGGGTTGGTGGCAGATTAATGCATGATGGATGAAATGGATGATGGGAATAGGTAGGTGATGGAGTGATAGATGGATATTTGATGATAATGAGTGGATGAATAGACAGATGAATAGATGAATGATGAATGAGTGAATGGACACGTGAGTCGATAAAGAGTGAATAAGGAGTTGATACTGCCTTAGTAACTTCCTTGTTGCTGTGATAAAACACCCTTACAAACACAACTTGCTAGAGAAAGGGCATGTTTTGGCTTATGGTTCTGGAGGGACACAGTCTATAATGACGGGGAAGACATTGCAGCAGACAGAAAAGGAACGGGGCAGTGGCGGGAGACTGTCTGGTCACACTGAATTCACACGCAGCAAGTAGAGAATTAACAGGAAATGGGGACAAGTGCTCAAATGCTCAAGCTAACGGGGGACATCTCACATTCAAACCACAGCAGACGGACGGTTGAGTGAGTGGGTGGTTAGATGGCTGAATGGAGAACTGTGGGTGAACCAATCAATAGTTTGGTAGAAGGATGCATGAATGATAGACAGCTGTACAAATGGATAGATGGATGGATGGATGGATGGATGGATGGATGGATGGATGGATGGATGGATGGATGGGTGGATAGCTATATGGAAGGATAGATGAGGAAATGGATGGGTGAATGGATGATGAACGGGGTAGAGAAGTGATGAAGGAGAGATGAATGGAAAGATAAGAGGGATGGGGAACCAGAGGTGGAGGAAGAGGATAGATGAAAGAAAGGAAGGGAAGCGGGGAGGAGGGAAGGATAAATAGATGGATGGATAAGAGACTACAGGGGACTGGGGACACAGAAGCATGTCTTGAACTTTCACAAATTCTCAGTCACCCAAATCTTATTCTTGATTGCTCTGACCCTCACAGCACAACCCAGCCTGGACTCCAACTCAGTCTCCTAAGTATGGGGACTACAGGTGTGGACCAGGCCCACAAACTGATGCTTCATGTCAAATGATTATTTTTGACTAGACTCCAAGTTTCCAAGTCAGGGCCTTTATTGAGAACCCTACCTGCCCTGAGGCTTGTCTGAGTTTAACTTGGCTCTCCGTATGCATGGGTGCTGATGTGAAGCCCTGTGCTGAGGCCACTAGAGGACATAATTCATATATGTTATAGATACCTGTTATACATACCATCTTTGTGTCTACTGCCATCTTTGGGTTAGAAGTCATCTATGTAATAGCTGTGAGATATGGGTCTGGATTTGAACAACTGGGATCCTTGAACAGGAGGCCCCTGAGATCACCAGGAGGGACAGGGACTCAGCAAAGATCAAAACCAACTTCAGTGTGCAAGCACATAGGCATGCCAAAGCCTGGCACATGAGGTACTGAAACACCTTATACCATCCCAACAGTGCAAGACTGGTGCCTTCCAGATGCCACCATGGGCACAGCAGGCTACCCGTCAGTGCTCCTCTCTGGGAGCTGTGGCTGCACTTGCTCATCTTTCCCTGATGACAAAGACCCATCAGCACTCCCATGCTGTGCCAATCCTGGCATCCAGGCCACTGAGAAACACATTGTATACCCAGGAGTCACGGCTGCCTTGTGGGCAGGTCAAATACCCTGCCTCCAGCTCTGTCCACCTCTCCTTTGGAATAAGCAAGCCAGAGTGCACACTGCATGGCTTCTGTCTCCACAGAGAACTACCTATTCTTAATAGTAAGGAGTGTTGGGAGCAGCTGGTCTGGCTTTGAGTTTCAAAGCTCTGATCCCTCCCCCTGGGCATTGACAGACCATGATGTCTTATCACAGTCTATGAAATATACATTGCATGTTGCTCAGGGGCAGTGTGTGCTGTGTATGTGAGGCCTGGATTAAGATTTTGAAAACAAAGTGTGAGGGAGATATTATGGAAAGACAGACTCAAATTTGGCTTTAAATATACTGATATACCAATGCAGGGATGTTACAGAGAAATAGACATGGTCTGAAAATTCTCAAATCCCAGCTCTCTTGGAACATGAAAGCAAACGATAACAGATTCCCACAGTGTGTTCTGTGGAACTCCATCCCAGGATTTAATCAACAGAACAATAGACACGATATAACAAAACTTGAGCATTTACATTTATATGTAAAAATAAAACAAGTGAAAATTAAATTAATGACAATTAAAATTTTTAAATGAAATGAATTAAAAATGAAAGATTATGAAATGAAGGAAGATGGCAAGTTGCCTGAGGCCTGACATGGGGATGCAGGACGTGTGCAGAGAGATGCTGAGCAGTCCACACGGGCTCCACCCTCCCTTCCCCCTGAGTGTGCTTGCTAGCGTGCACAGCAGGATCTTCTGGAACTGCTCTTGCCACTGTGACACTTGATCCTATGCTCCTTTCTCACTGCTGCAAGTGACCCTGTGACCTGCTCTGGCCCAGGAAATTCCAGCGGGTGCCAGTGAGCAAAACTCTGAAACCTGCTCCAGTGAAAATGATGTCTAAGTTGGGACTGGCGAACTGCCGAGAGACATCACCCACAGGCTCACTATCAGAAGACTGGTGCATTGAGACCAAGCAATGGCAAGACAAACCACTCTTAGGAGAAAGTGTCTGTGGGTATTGAAAAGAGCAAAGCCCCAGGGCCAAGTATGATGGAATAGGTCACATCTAGAAGAGATGCATCTTGACATTTGAGGACCTGGAGATGGCTTGAGCCCCTCTCATGAAGAGGAAGGGCTAGGAAAGAGTTAAGCAACTTGACAAATGCAGAGAGAGAGATGCAGCAGTGCCTATGTAGCTAAGTTACACAGAGGAGGCCTGTCTGTGACCATGAGAAGGTACATGCCACCTCAGGAGGACAGTGAGTCACAGCTCTGTAGCCCCTGAGTACAAACAGGCAAAGTCTGATGATATCAAAGATATGGAGGAGCTAGCCACAGCATTGACAAGCTGGCAAGATGAAGAGAGGAGAAACCCAGCTGGCGCTGCACGCTGCCCCATACCTACCTGGAGAGGTAGCCCTGGAGCTCACTATGGCTCCCAGGCTTGCTGCTGCCCTCACTGGAATAGCAAACGCCCCAGGTAACAAAATCACCATCCCATGATGGAGAATGCACACATCAGGGAGGATCCACATGCAACATGGGGAAATTACCAGAACACAGTTGAGAACATAAATCAAATGCCCACAGCAGGAGAATGCCATTCATACCAATTTTTAAAACAAGCTCGGTGGTTAGACATCTGATTACAGAGACACACACACACACACACATTGTCTTGAACCGATATAAATTGTGATTTATGTGTTGTTGCATGTGCTTAAATTTTTGCTTTATAGGTAAGCTTTAAAGCAAACTGGAACGGTCCAACCCAAGCTCAAGATGGAGATAACTTCCAGGTAGACAGCGGAGAGGGGGGTGCATCAGAAGGGCAAAGGGTGGGTTTTATTGGAAGCTATTGTTTTCTAAGTGTGAGCTCTCGTGGAGAGAGGAAACAATTGGCAGCTCTGTAACGGCTGAGCTGGCGAGGCTCTGCTGGAATGAAAATGGCACCCTAACTCCACTGCCTACCTGTGGTAGTGTGCCTGCTCCCCCTCCCCTCACCCCAGGACCCCAGGACATCAGGCTAAGCACAAAAGAGGCAGGCTGGGCAGAACAGATGGAGCATTGAAATGTGCACTAGCCCACCTCTGCCATCAGTCCCCGGGCTGGGGTTTCCTGCATTCTGCACTTTTCTCTATATGTCAAAGATTCCATAATTAAAGAATGCTCTCCACCCCCACCCCACCCCCCAAAAAAGGACAGATCCCAACCAGGCCATCTGGAGCAGAAACCTGGATCACTCCACTCCAAAGCTGCAGAGGGATTCTCCTAGCTGCCCCTTTGGCAGGCACCAAGGTCAAATGTACCTGTGGGATGCCACAGAGGTAGCTGTGGTACTGAGGCCTTTGGGTCAGGGAAGTGTGTCCCTAATCCAAACTCACCTTGCCCAAGAGCCACCCTCGGTGTAGACCCTGGAGTCTGTAACCCAGGATGGAGGGCAGGAGTGGGAAGGTGGGCCGTGGTCAGCTTTCTCCTGTCTCAGAATGTGCCCTTCCTCTTTTCCCTGCTCAACAGCATCACAGATGACTGTGCTCGTGACTTCTATAGTGACCTCATAATCATAAAGAATCTCCAAGGTATTCGGGTGGTAGTGGCGCATGCCTTTAATCCCAGCAGTCGGGAGGCAGAGCCACATAGATCTCTGAGTTTGAGGCTAGCCTGGCCTAGAGGGAAAGTTCTAGAACATCCAGGACTGTTATATAGAGAAACCTTGTCTTGGAAAACCAAAATAATCATCACCATCATCATAATCTTCTTCTTCTTCTTCTTCTTCTTCTTCTTCTTCTTCTTCTTCTTCTTCTTCTTCTTCTTCTTCTTCTTCTT